GCGAAGTGTGGTTTCATTTCCGTAGTCTCTCCTCATGACTTCGGTAGTGTACTTTTTCTTTCTGAAGGGGTTCTGTTCCCTTCTCTGTTGACTGGGCGCTGGGGGAGCAGCTTGCTCTGTTGCCTCTCGCTTGGTCCCGCTGTTGGTGGGCGCTTTGGGTTGTCTTCCGGCCTCTGCTGGCGTCGGAGGCCGGCTTCTCCCCCTTGGGGGGGGTTCAGAGCTGGCGGGGTGGGCTTCTTCCCTGCGCTTCGTCATTTCCTCTTCGTGGGTGCGTGGGGCGTGGTCGATCCGCCCCATCCTTCTGGGCTTCCCGTCTGCTCTTTGCAGTCATGAGCTTTTCCAGTCTGCAGTTCTTCTGGACTACTTCCGTCTGCGCCCTGGATCCTCTGCCCTGCTCGGAGGACTGTTGTCTCCTGTTCGGATTCTGTTAGGGCCGGGTGCATGGATGGTGGACCTGGACCTCCAGGTCACTTCTTGACACGTTCCTCTCCAGTTTTTCTGGGGCTAGCACGGTTGGTAATTACCTATGTGTACTTACCTAAGTGTAGTTACAGGATGAGAGCTACTCTCGTGGTGTCCCGTCTTCCCAGCACTTTGTCATATAATGCTTTGATTATAATTGTCATATTGTCATATAATGATTGTCATATGTCATAATATGTCTTCATATGATTGTCATACAATGCTTTGGTGGTGGGGCTTCAGGTTTGCTGTTTTTATTGCATTCCCTATTTTGTGAAGGGCACTTTGTATACTCTTTGCATCTTTACCGGATCTTAGTGCCCTGTCTGCATCTGAGATTCGGTGTCTGGCCTACCTCGACGACTGGCTGGAGTGGGCTCCCAGTCAGTCCGCTTGTCTGCTCACCAGGGGATGGTTCTTTCCAGATCGCTGGGTTTGGTTTCCTGGTGATCTGGAGGTTTTACCTTCTGTTTCCGTCCCGGGTTCGGACCTGGGCCTTGTTTCAGGCTCTTGGGCCCCTCATTGTCTTCCCTCCAGAAGTGTTACTGTGGCTGTGGTCCCGCCTTTGGCTGTTCAGGAGGGGGTCCCGGGTTGCTCAGCGGTTGCTTGGGCGGTTGTGCGGGAGTTTGCACTTCGGCGTGCTTGTCTGCCCGCGGAGTCGGGTTTGGCTCCGGCGTCGGTTGGTTCCTACGGAGACTCCACTTCCGCCTCTTGCATTCCTTGGGTTCCTCTGGGGATCTGGTGTTGGTGCTGCGTCACCAGCTTCCTCTTTGGGGTTTTCGGGGTTCCGTGCCTTGGCGGCTCCCCGAGCCTTCGCTCGATGTGTTCACGGACGGGTCGTCTCTCGGCTGGGGCTTTGTGACCAGTGCTCACCAGGTCGGCCGAGGTTGATGGAGTCTGTCTGTCCGTCGGGCTCACAGCCCGGTTCAGGTGTTCATGGCTGTCTGGTTTGCGCTTCGGAGGGTTTGGGTCACTAGGTACTCTACCGTTCAGCTCTGTTTGGACTGTTCTCTGGTGGTTCTTGCCGGAACCACAGGGGGTTTGGTTAACCGTGTGGTTCGTGTCCGGGGTGTGTCCTGCGTCCTGGTGGACAGCTGTCTCGGTTCATTCCTCTTCGTGGGTTGGCCAGTCGTCGCCGATTCGTTTTGTTGGCTCTGTTGGGCTTATGGACTCCTGGCCATGGACGTCTTCGGGTCGGCGTGGTCTAGGCGTCGCCCGTTTTGTGGCGCCCTTCCCACCTGCGAGGACTTCACGGTGGAGGCTTTCGGCAGGCCTGGTCGAGGTGGGGGGTACCTGTACCTCTTCTCCCGGTCCAGCTGTTGCTTCGGGTTCTGGCTCAGTTGCAGCCCATTCCCACGAGAACAGTCCTTATGGTTCCACTGTGGCCGGCCTGGCCTTCTTTTCAGACGCTGCTTGATAGGTGTCCGTACCCGGGGCGTTTTTCCTGAGGCTTCGCCTCTTTCAGCAGGCCGAATCGGTCCTGTCCGTGACTGGTTCGGCCTTCTCTTTGGCTCTTCGCGTCTGGTATTTTGACGCAGGTATCGCCATCTCTATGGTGTTCAGGTGGCTTTGTTGACGGTGTCCCACCTGCGAGCTTCGTCTTGGAGACTGTATGACGTTTATTACGTCTTCTCGCGTTTTGTTTCCCCTCCGGCCTGCTCATGAGTCGCCTGAGCCATCCTGGTCCTTGTTCAGGGTGCCTTCTTCTCTTCCCCTCAGTTTGTGGTAGCCCCTTCGGTTTCAGTTTCCTCCTCTTTGGTACTGGTGGTAGCTATTGGTGTGCAGCCTTTCTCTGTCCTGGCGACGGTCGAGACGGCTGCTTTCCGGAGGGGTTCTTGGGGTATTGGTACTTGTTTGGTTTGGCCGGGGGGTGCGTCCTGTGTTGTCCAGTTGTGCTTTTTGCTGTTGCCGGCGTACCGTGCCTGGGGATGCGCTGTGGTTGATCCGGTTCCTTCGTTCCCTGTTTTCAGGGCTCGGGTCTCCCGGGTCGTCCGCAGTGTTTTCCTTCTTACTGCGGTCTGTCTTTGCGCCCGTGCTGTTCAGACGTTTGCAGCATTTGCTGCTGTGTTGGTGACGTCTCGGGCGCAGGGATTTGTGGGTCGCCCAGGTTTTTGGCCGCCCATCCATATGTGCGTCTGTTCTTGGGCGTTCTTGTTGCCTTGGGTCGCAGGTTTGCGACCGGTTGTCTTGGCTTTGCGTTGCAGAGTTTGTGGCGGCCGCCTCCCGGGTTAGCCCTTTCTTTTCCTTCTCTTTGGGTATGAAGCTCCAGGGAGCCGTAGGGGCTCCCCACAGAAAACCAGCGTTGAATGTAATGAAACGCCATTTTCTGGGTGAGCCCCGGAGGCTCCCTGGAAACCCTCCCTCCCACCGGTCGGCGTTTTTTTCGCGTTGGTTGAAGCTTAGCTTCCGAACTGGAGCTTGGCAGCCGGCGCGGTAGGTCCGGGGCTCCCCCTCCCCCTCCCGGGGTGGGGAGGGCTGCGCGGACGATCGGCGCGGCAGTAAAGTGTGATGTTTGCTTGTTTGCTTGTTTCCTTGGGATTGTAGGGAGTTTTCTACCTCTGTTCGGTTTTTGTTGTAGTTTCTTACCATGTGGGGTTTGTTTTGTTACGCCTACCTTTCTGGGTGCCTAACCCCGGTCGATGGCAGATAAGGAAAACCCCCAACCATATGGGGTTTTCCAGGGCCATTGCTCCCTGAAACCTCTCTGAAGGGGCCAGGTTCTGGCGCTGGTCCCTGGTAGGTCTGAACTCCTTAGCTAATGTCCCGGTCTAACATAACATACATTAGCCCGATAAGCTCCAGGGAGCCTCCGGGGCTCACCCAGAAAATGGCGTTTCATTACATTCAACGCTGGTTTTTTATCCAATCGACCTCGGGATAGTATCAAAATAAGCGCCTTTTGAATGCGCACAATTTGATACCAAAATGAAAGATGTAACATGAAACTTGATGTCCGAACACTTATAAGATTATAAATAGGCTTTTAGTCAAAATATTAAAATATTTGTTAAAATTCTATTTATTATCCTATTATCTTGGGACTAGTTTTAAAATGCGCGCCTTTACATTGCGAACAATTTGATACCAAAATGAAAGACGTAACATGAAATTTGATGTTATCAAATTGAACGAGTATGCACATTAGGTTGCAGTGTACAAATTGGTAGTCGTTCACGAGTAACTTTAGGCTTTTCTGCAGGGGAGGCATTCCAGGCTTTTGTACATTATATTCATACACATCTGTAGGGAATTTAATTGCGAACACAATGATACCAAAACGAGCGATGTATCACGAGAATTAAGGTGAGAAAAATGGAACGAGTATGCACATGTTACTGATTTTGTGGTTTCACGGGTAACTTTTGCCAACTTACGGCTTTGCTGTTGGGAGTCACGCCAGGCTTTTGGACATTATATTTATACACACCTGTAAGGAATTTAATTGCGAACACAATGATACCAAAACGAGCGATGTAGCACGAGAATTAAGGTGAGAAAGCTGAAACGAGTATACACATTTAGGTACCACCGCGCTCTTGCCCGCTCGCTCGGTGCATGACCCCTAAGTTGACCGGGTGCCTGCCCAGTGAGCGATAGTGCTAAAAGTCCATTTCATACAAAATCAGCCTCACACACAATTAGAATGGGTACGAAAAAATAAAAAAGAGTTTTCTCGTTTGGTGCTGTTTCCCGCCGACCGAGAATACTCGTTTGGCGCATTACATGGATGGCGAAATACTAAAGAAATTGTTCATGACTTTTGTTAGGCCAAAGCTAGAATATGCAGCGGTTGTGTGGTGTCCATATCTTAAGAAGCACATCAACAAACTGGAAAAGGTGCAAAGACATGCTACTAAGTGGCTCCCAGAACTGAAGGGCAGGAGCTACGAGGAGAGGTTAGACGCATTAAATATGCCAAAACTAGAAGACAAAAGAAAAAGAGGTGATATGATCAAAACGTACAAAATAGTAACAAGAATTGATAAAATTGATAGGGAAGATTTCCTAAGACCTGGAACTTGAAGAACAAGAGGTCATAGATTTAAACTAACTAAACAAAGATGCCGAAGAAATATAAGAAAATTCACTTTTGCAAACAGAGTGGTAGACGGTTGGAACAAGTTAAGTGAGAAGGTGGTGGAGGCCAAAACCGTCAGTAGTTTCAAAGCGTTATATGACAAAGAGTTCTGGGTAGATGGGACACCACGAGTGTAGCTCTCATTCTGTAACTACATTTCGGTAATTACACTTAGGCAATTACACTTAAGTAATTACACACAATCTACACTATAGGACATCGAGGTAGGCCTTCTCAGCCGTTGGAGTCAGGCTGTGTTGGATTACTACGCTGTTTCTATACTGTAGTTGGGGGAATAAAATAAGTTGTAAATAAATAAACTTTTGTCTCTGGTAGGCTGAACTGAACTCCACAGCTGATGTGATCTTATATTTGGATCTAATAATATAATCTCAGCAAGATACAGTAGCTTCAGGGAGCCACTGGGTTCATCGCTTTTCATTGAACGCTGGTATTTCAGATTCGTGAGCTTGAAGCTTTAAAACATCATTATTGCAATTTAGAGGACCAACTAATACATCAACCATCTGTTACAAGACTGGATTCACAGGGCTGCACAGCAATTACTCAAGAATTAAAAGACGAGGAGAATGAGCTAAAAGATGAGGAGAATGAGCTGAAAGCTGAGAGACCAGCACATCTTCCCTTAGATTCGACTCTTCTGCAAGAGGACAGGTAAATTCAATTTCCATGATGTCCTTATTGGTCCATTTTTTTGTGCAGTACAGTATAACTTATCCAGCATATTGCATGTTAGTGTTCAAATAGTGATTAGGTGTAGCCAGTTGCACCAAACTTGTTACAATTTGGCACATTTTCTGCAAATTTTTGTTATGTATTTTTATCAGTTTATTTTTTCTAGCTTATTTACATAAGTTCACACACATGCATGTACACAGACTGCCAACACTTCAATGTGGGAGCTCCAAGAAATAATTTTGCCATCTAAGTATTGTGGTAACTTAGTGCTTACCTATCAGAAAGTGAGGGAAAGCGAGATTTAGCTCTTATGCCCTGCCTCCTAGCTGTTTATACCTGGTGTGCTAGTTACCTCTCTCAACATAACCATTTCTGGGGGGAGCCCCTTTGGAGCCCCAGAGCTATCCCGGCTGATATCCATATCAGCCCCAGAACTATCCGGGCTAATATGAATGTACTAGACCCCGGCATCAGTCAATGTGTATGGAGTTCTAGGCCTACCAGGGACCATGAGCCAGAACATGGCATTCTCAGAGAGGTACGAGGAGCAATGGCCTATAGAAACCACTGTGTGGTTGTAAGCATTCTATGTCTGCCATTGACCGGGTCAGGCACCCAGAAAAGTAAGCCCCCAAAACAAACCCCTATTCTGGTTAAAATATTGCTGCTGAAGGCCGAACTAGTGGACAGAACTCCCGAAATGAAAACGAGCAAATGAGCATGATATCACCACGTCACCATGCCTCTGTGCAACCCTCACTCCCTCCCAGGGAGGGTCAAGGGGGTGCCCCAGACTCCTGTGCCGGCTATCCACCCTGCAGTTCTGTAGTTGATGTGGAACTGGCAAGGTCATGTGCCTTTGGCTCCAGAATTTTCCAGTTCTGTGCCTTGTAGTGTGGTGCTGTCTCTTCAGGGGTGTGCGATCCAGGAGTAATTTCTCCAGTACTCGGACTCCATGCGCCTAGGGTTCCCTTCCCTAGGTGCCTTGTAAGTACTGCCCTTAGGGATTTGGAGATTACCTTCCACATACAGGTCACCTTGGGATCTACCTCTGCTGTGTCTTTTGCTGCTCGGTAATTGACTGCCCTTGGAGTCAGCTGGGGTGTTTCTTGCTTTCCTGTTTGCCTCTGGGTAGGGGGTAGTTTTTTGTCACTGGTTGGGGCGCAAGGTATTATGCACCCAGTTGTCACCTCTCATAGTGGCCGGCTCTGTTCCACCTGGGCACATTGTCCTCTTGCGAGTATTTTTGTTTTCCTGTTTGGTGAGAGGTCTGCCCTTTGTATTTTGGTGGTCCTCCACTAGGCCCCCGCGAGTGTACACATCCCGGGGGTTCAGCTTTAGCAGTTTGCTTGGAAGCTTTTGGGCGCCGGGTAGCAGTACCCTGCCTGGGCTTTCCCTAGCGAGATAACGCGACTAAGCTCCTTGAGAAACCCCACAGGGGCGCTCTAATTCAATGGACGTGACCCCTGGGTCCCCTCTCGCTTTGTGCAAGTTTGAAGGTTGCTCTGCCCCCTTGTCTCAGGGTGACTCTCACTAGTTGTGCCTCCATCATTCAGCCTGTTGGGTCAGTGATACTTTCGACCCAGAGTCTTGCGAGTGTTGTTCCTTGTTTGTTTTCCCGTTCACCCAATTCACTGATCATGATATGCGGATGCAGGCTGCTTCAATGTTGCATGCTCGGTGTTGGTTAGCCTTAGGGTGGCATTGGGTGGCCCTTCCTCCTTCGGAACTTTAGGGGTTGGTGGGGCACGCCTCCTGTCCTGCGCTCTGTCAGGTTATCTCGGAGTGAGTTCGCTTGGGTGTGGTCCTGGACTTGTCCTGCCTGAACCCGTCGGTTTATTGCTCCACTTTTAGGATGACTACTCTGTCCCAGGTATATATACCACATATATATACCACATAATTTACCACGTCCTTCTCTTGGAGCCGGGTGCTTGGATGGTGTCCCCTGGACCTCAAGGATGTGTATTGGTATGTCCCGATTCATCCGCGGTTCACGGACTGGCTCGGTTTTGTTGTGGGGCATCAAAGTGACCACTTTCGTTGCCTCCTATTCGGCTTGAATCTGGCACCTCGCGTTTTCACACGCCTTACCCGGGTCGTGGTGGCCCATCTGCGTCTCTTAGGGGTTCTGGTTCTGGCCTACCACGGTGACTGGGTGATGTGGGCTCTAAGCCGGTCCGCGTGTCTGCTCGCCAGGGATTTGGTTCTTTCTCAGCTTGCCGGGTTCGGGATCCTGGTGAACTGGCAGAAGTCCCATCTAGTTCCCTCCCAGGTTTGGTCTTGGCTGGCTCTTGTGTGGGATGCTCGGACTGCTTCCTTGTCTCTCCCTCCAGAGCCTCTGCTTCGGCTGTGGTCCCGCCTTTGCCTGTTTCTGGGAGGCTTCTGGGTCATGCGACGGTTACTTGAGGGTTTGTGCGGGAGCCTGAAGTTTGCTATGATGGTCTACCCACCGGGTCAGGTTTGGCTTTGTTGGCTGTTCTGGTTCCTTCTGGGACATCTCTTTTGCCTCTCTCGCAATCACTCGGTTCGGCCTCCGGGGGCCGATTGCTGCGTTGCCAGCTTCCTCTTCAGATTTCTCAGAGTTCAGTGCTTTGACGCCCCCGAGCCCTTGCTCGATGTGTTCACGGATGCAACGTCTCTTGGCTGGGGCTTTGTGAACAGTGCTCACCAGGCTGGCCAGGGGCTGTGTGGTCCGTCTTGCTCACTGCACGGTGCGGGACTTCATGACTGCGTGGATGTCACTTTGGAGGGTGCGCGACTTCATGACTGCGTGGATGTCACTTTGGAGGGTGCGGGTCACTTGCGGATCGATGATCCGGCTCTATTCGGACTGCTCCCCTGTGGTTCATTGTCAGAACCACAGGGGTTCAAAGTGGTCCTTGGTTCTTTCAGGCTGGTTGCTTCGGGTGACTCGTCTGCTAAGTTCTCAGGGTTTGGCTCGCCTAGCGGTTCATGTCCAGGGAGTGTCCAACATACTAGTAGATGGCCTGTCCCCTTTTCATTCCCCCTGTCCACATAATGGACATTCGACACAGACTTGTTACATTGGCTCTGCTGAACGTTCAGGTGCCTGGAAGTGGACCTCTTCATGTCGGCTTAGTCGAGGTGTCTTCCGGTATATGCAGCGCCCTTTCCCAACTGCGAGACCATCGGGGTCTATGCCTTTTAATCGGACTGGTTGAGGTGGGGTTACCTATACCTTTTCCCACCGGTTCAGTTGTTACTCCAAGTCCTGGCTGGCTTGGAGACTTACCAGGGAAGGATAGTCCTGTTGGCACCTTGGTGGCCGGCACAGCCTTGGTTTCAGGCACTGCTTGCTCGGTATCCGAACCCCGAGAGGTCTTCCTGTGACTCCGCCTCTTTCAGCAGATCAGTCCAGTCTGGTACAATGCTGGTTCAATCTTCTCTTCCGTTCTTCACGTCAGGTCTTTTTGACGCAGATTTATCACCACATATGGTGATCAGGTGGCTTCGTTGATGGTGTCCCACCTGCGAGTTTTGTCTCGGCGGCAGTATGAAGTTTCCTGGCGGTCCTTTTGGCACTTTTTGTCTCTTTGTAGGTTGTCTTCGATTTCTGATTGGGTTGTTGTATTCTTTTTCTCTCTTCGTTGTTTCAGGACCCTCATCTTTTGCTGAATACTGTCGCTTCATTTCATGAGGCACTGGCGGAGCTGCTGCTGCCTGTGTTTGGGGTGGATGTCACTTCTGCTCTGTTCTGCAAGCTTTCTCGGGTGTTGTTTCACCTCCGGCCTGCTCATGTGCCGCCTGAGCCGTCCTGGTCTTTAGACCGGGTGCTCACCCGTCCTTCTTCTCTTCAGTTTGTGGTGGCCCCTTCGGTTCAGGACTGCTTTTCTAAGGTGCTTTTCTTGTTGGCACTGGCCTCTGGGGGCCACGTCGGGGAGCTTCATGCTCTCCTCCAGTGCAAGGGTTTCTGCTCTATCGAACTTGGTGGTAGGTTTGTTTGTGTTCAGCCATCTCCTTTTCTGGCAAAGAATGAGACGGTTGCTTTCCAGAGGGGTCCTTGGGTTGTTGATGCTTGGTTGATCAGGCCTGGGGTGCATCATGTGTTGTGTCTAGTCGCGGCTCAATACTGTTACCTGCTTGCCACGGCCTCCGTGGCCAGGGACGTGCTTTGGGTTGACCTGGTTTCTCTTCTTCCCTGTTCCCTTTTTCAGGTCTCTCAGGTCGTGCGCAGCGTTATTTGGGCCAGCCAGCCTGCAGTCTATCCCTGTGCCCACGACGTTCGTAAGTTTGCTGTGCTGGCTTCCATCTTCGGTAATATGTCTTCGGCTGACATGCGGGCGCCGGGTTTTTGGAGGTTGAACAGGGTCCTGGCTGTTCACTACCTTGTCAGTGTTCCTGAGCCTAGTCGGGCCTGTGTTGGGTCGGTGATTGCAGCCAGTGGTCTCGACTTCATATTAAGGAGCGAGTGCCGACCGCCTCCCTGGTAAATCCCTCTTGTTTTTGTCTTTGGGTAAGTAACTCTAGGAAACTGACGGAGCTCCTCCCAGAAAATCAGCATTGAATGTAATGAAACGCCATTTTCTGGGTAAGACCTGGAGGCTCCCTGGCAACCATCCCTCCTTCTGGTCGGCGTTTTTTTGCATATTTTTGACATCCAACCGCAGAATTGGGGTGTGGATAGCTGGTTTGGGGTCTGAGACTTCCTCTTCACCCCCCTCGGGGAGGGGGGAGCTGTGCAAACAGAGGCACGGTGGCGTGGTGATGTCATGCTAGTTTTCATTTGATGAGTTCTGTCCACTAGTTCGGATTTCAGTAACAATTTCTTAACCAGAATCGGGCATTGTTTTGGGGCGCTAATCTTTCTGGATGCCTGACCCGGTCGATGGAAGATATAGAATGCTTCCAACCACACAGGGGTTTCTATTGGCCATTGCGCACCGTGTATCTCTGAGGGGTCCAAGTTCTGACTTGTGGTTCCAGTAGGATTATGAACTCCATTCACTATGACTAATTCCTGGGTCTAATACAGTCACATCAGCTCGGATAGCTCCGGGGAGCCTCCGGGTCTCGCCCAGAAAATGGTGTTTCTTTACATTCAACGTCGGTTTTTTGTTTTCTAAACATAAAAGTAATTATAATATACCACACCTTGGGTTCCTCAATAGTATGGGAAGAAATGCAAAGTTTTGTTGAAACAACTTGCCCAAATCAAGCTGCATTAGGCCGTTGTCTTAACCTTTTCAGTGACACTGTGATGCCTCACTTCAGACAAATGTTAAAACAGGTCTCTAAGGAAAGGTTCTTAGTGAGAAAAACAAGTAGTAAGCCACAACCAGGTCTTAGTGGTATGCAGGCAAAATGTAGGAGAGTTCCCCAGAGAAGTCATCACTGCTTGATGTTATAATGGAAGGGGGACTCCCCTTCCTAACACTTACACCTCTCCAACTCCCCCCCCCCCCTCCCTCCTCACCGTCTTCCATATGCCAACAAGAATCATCAATAAAGGTAAACTATAACTTGTACATACTATAGTACAAAATATGTGTCTGTATTATGTATGAAATGTATTTGAAGTTAATATTTTTGGGAGTGTGGAATGGATTAATAGAATTTACATTATTTCTTATGGGAAAATTCATTTCAAGTTATGAATTTTAGAGTTACGACCCGTCTTTGGGAACGGATTAAATTCGTAAAGGGAGGTACCAATGTATTGCTGTGTGTAAAATATGAATATGCAGTGGTTATCAAGTTATTCATTGTAACTTTTCAGATTAGCTCTGCTTATTGAGCGAGAAGTTCAGAGACGTGTTCTTGAAGAAGTTGTTGCCCGAGAAAGTGCAACTTTGAGTGCAAGGTCACCTTTCCGAAGAACATACCGTTCCATGAGCGCCTCATTGGATCCTTGGAGTTTGTAAGTTGATGATATTTTTTGGTTGATTTATACTGCATATGTTTATGTTTACATATTTAACCCTTAAGTTGTGCAACACATCATATGATGGGTTGAGTGCCTTGCTATTAAATGCACATCGCATCATATGATGTATTGGAGTACTACGCAAGATTTAAACGGCCCACGCATACACAGGGTTCACCTCACCTTCATCAGGGCTCTTGTAAACAGACGCCATTTAAAAAAAAATCGTGGGGCAAATTCCCGGGTGTGAGGGCTTCATTAATGAGTGAGCCACCAAGCCTGACACATGCAGCATGAGCTCACAGCACTGCTGTTCAGCTTGTGACCACAGCATCGCCTAAAAATGCCATAATATATATGCTCATGCTATTATTTAGTGATGATATTATTACAGAATACCCCTGACTGATAAAAATGACCAGGATTCTGATAATAGCAGGATTGTTGTGATAATTAGTACTGTAGTGGGAGGAGTAGTCTTGGTGGGGAGGGAGGTAGCATTGTCTGCTGACTCTGTGTGACCACCTTTTACTGTCTTGACTCACTATACCAGCTTAGTTGTTCGTTATGGTGAACACGGATGTAGATACTTATATGTAACATGTATATACAGTGTAATAACAGCAAAAGGAGTGTGGGGAAGAAGCCATTTTGGTGATGGGGGTGGCAACATCTGTATGATTTGTCATTTTGGTAAGGGTGGCCACTATGCTCTTTGGGCATTATACTGGCTTAGTTGAACAGGTGAACAAAACATGTAGATACTTATATATAACATCTGTATATAGGGTAACAACACCACAAACAGTATTGTTGGGGTGAAATTTTAGTCCATCTGACCTTGAATGTGTAAGGGAGGTAGCCACCAGCTGACTGTGTGTAGCGACGACTCTTAGTGCCTGAACTAACTATATCAACTTAGTTGTATAGTTGTGGTGAACAAAACATGTAGATACTTATATATAACATCTGTATATAGTGAATAAAAGCAAAAAAAGTATTGTGGGAGGAGAATGTGGGTGAGTCAGGTGAGTTGAGGCCTGGCCAGCCAGGGGCGGTGGGGTCCGTCCTTCCGTTGAGTTCACAGCATGGTGAGGGTGTTCGCAGTGGTGTGGTTTGCTCTTCGGAGGATTCAGGTCGCCCACGGATCGGCGATCTGGCTCCATTCGGACTGCTCCCCGGTGGTTCCTTGCCTGGACAGAGGGGGTTCGATGCAGTCCTTGGCTCTTTGGGATTGGTCGCTTCGGGTGACTCGTCTGCTGAGTTATCGGGGTTTGGCTCTTCTGGCGGTTCGCGTCCAGGGGGTGTCCAACGTCCTGGCGGTTGGCCTGTCCAGGTTTGTACCCTGTCTACGGCGTGGTCGATCGACGCTGACTCCTTCCGTTGGCTCTGCCGGACGTTCAGGCGCCTGGAGGTGGACCTCTTCGCATCGGTGTGATCAAGGAGTCTTCCGTTTTCCGTGGTGCCCTTCCCCAACTAAGAGGCTGTTGGGTTCGACACCTTTCAGCAGGTCTGGTCGAGGTGGGGGTTCCTGTACCTCTTTCCCCCGGTTTAGCTGTTATTCCTGGTCCTGGCTCGCTTGGAGGCTTCCCAGGGTTGTATGGTCCTCTTGGCCCCTTGGTGGCCGGCCCAGCCGTGGTTTCCGGCGCTGCTTGCACGGTGTCCGAACCCGGAGGTTATTCCGCGGCTCCGCCTCTTTCTGGAGAGCGGGTCGGTCCGGTACGAGACTGGTTTGCTCTTCTCCGCGAGTCTTCGCGTTTGGTGTTTTTGACTTGTGTTTCTCACCATCCCTATGGTGAGCAGGTGGCTTCTTTGTTGGTTTCTCACCTGCGGGTTCCTCTCGGCAGCAGTATGAAGTTTCCTGGCGGTCCTTCCGGTTCTTTTTGGCCCTTCTTCGTTGTTGTTTGCTTTTGGTTCATGTGGTGTTGTCCTTTCTCTCTTGGTTGTTCCAGGACCGTCATCTGCTGCCTAATACTGTTGCCTCGTATCGTGCGGTGCTGGCGGAGCCGCTGCAGCTTGCTTTTGGTATCAATGTTACTTGTGCACCGTTTCGCAGGCTGTCTCATGCGTTGTTTCACCTCCGACCTGCTCATGCGCCACCTGAGTTGTCCTGGTCTTTGAACCGAGTGCTCTCCTATCTTTCTTCTCCTCGGTTTGTTGTGGCTCCTTCGGTTCAGGATTGCTTTGCTAAGGCTCTTTTCTGTAGGGAGCCCCTACGGCTCCCTGGAGCTTATAAGGCCGAGGTGGTCGAGGTGGAGGTACCTGTTCCTCTTCTCCCGGTCCAGCTGATACTTCGGATTTTGGCTCGGTTGGAGCCCATTCCCACGAGAGTAGTCCTTATGGTCCCTTGGTGGCCGGCCCAGTTTTATTTTCAGACGCTGCTTGATAGGTGTCCGAACCCGGGGCGTTTTCCCCGCGGCTCCGCCTCTTTCGGCAGGTCGGACCGGTCCTGTACGTGACTGGTTCGGCCTTCTCCTCGGCTCTTCGCGTCTGGTTTTTGACGTGGGTATCACCATCTGTGGTGATCAGGTGGCTTTGTTGACGGTGTCCCACCTGTGAGCTTCGTCTCGGCAACAGTATGACGTTCCTGGTGTTTCTATGCACCTTTTTCTTGCTCTTCGTAGGTTGTCTTCTCTTTTGCATCGGGTTGTCTTGTCCTTTCTTGGGTTTTCTGGACTACAGTTATTTGATGTTTCCTACTGTCGCTTCGTTTTGTGCGACGCTGTCGGAGCGGCTTCGGCTTGCGTTCGGGGTGGACGTCACATCTACCCTGTTCCGTATGCTTTCTTGTGTTTTGTTTCACCTCTGGCCTGTTCATGCGTCGCTTGAGTCGTCCTTTTACACAACCCCCCCCTGCACCCGAGCTATGTCAATAGCTATGTCAATGTAAGGGCGAAGAGGGAGAACGGCCTATTGACATAGCTCGGGTGCAGGAGGGAGTTGTGTAAAAGCCTGGTTTGTGCCTCGGAGAGGCTACGGGATCCAGTAAGTTCAGTAGAACTTCGGTTTCAACCCTTTTAACCCTGTCGTAGCTCAGTCGATTAAGGCAGTGTCTGGAATGCTCCCGGACGCAGGTTCGAGTCCTCGTCACGGCCCTTGTGGATTTGTTCATTTGATGCATCACATTAGTGTGATCTCTGTGTGTGAAGATGTAAGGGCGAAGAGGGAGAACGGCCTATTGACATAGCTCGGGTGCAGGGGGGGTTGTGTAAAAGCCTGGTTTGTGCCTCGGAGAGGCTACGAGATCCAGTAAGTTCAGTAGAACTTCGGTTTCAACCCTTTTAACCCTGTCGTAGCTCAGTCGATTAAGGCAGTGTCTGGGATGCTCCCGGACGCAGGTTCGAATCCTCGTCACGGCCCTTGTGGATTTGTTCATTTGATGCATCACGTTAGTGTGATCTCTATGTGTGGTTCTTGGGTCTAGTCAGGCCTGTGTTGCTTTGGGTCGGTGGTTGCAGCCAGTTGTCTTGATTTTGCGTTAAGGAGTGAGCAGTGACCACCTCCTGGGTGAGTCCCTGTGGTTTTCATCTGTGGGTAAGTAGCTTCAGGGAGCTGATGGGGCTACCCCCAGAAAACCAACGTTGAATGTAATGAAACACCATTTTGTGGGCGAGTCCCGGAGGCTCCCGGCAACCCTCTCTTCCCCGGTCGGTGTTTTTTCGTGTGTTTTTGATATCTAGCCTCAGACCTGGGTTGTGGATGGCCGGCGCGGGGTCTGGCGCTCCCCCTTTTCCCTCCCTGGGAGGGGGGGAGCTGCGCATGTGACGTCATACTTGTTTGCTCATTTCTGTTTGGGGAGTTTTATCCACTTGCTAGGCTTTTTGTACGAATTTTCATCATAATAGAGGTTTGTTTTAGGACACTTACCTTTCTGGGTGCCTAACCCAGTTGATGGCAGACATAGAATGCTTCCATCCTCACGGGAGTGTCTATAGGTCATTGCTCCTCGTGCCTCTGTGAGCGGGGGCCAGGTTTTGGCTCATAGTCCCCGGTGGGCCCACAGAACTCCATACACATCACTGATGCCAAAGTCTGACTTTAGTATATCAGTCTGCATAGCTCCCGGGAGTCTCCATGACTCACCCAGAAAATGGCGTTTCATTACATTCAATGCTGGATTTTTTTTATTTGCTTACTTTCTGGATGTTTTCTTGAGGTGGGTGATCATAACAATCCCCTGCTCCTTGAGCCTCTGTGATAAGGGCCAGGTTCTGGCTCTGGTCTCTGGAAAACTCTAGGATTCCAAAGGTTGATGTGACCCATGTGTGGAGCTACCTCAGCTAGCTTGTTATAGGGAGCTACCATTTGGCCTCTGCAGAAATGTTTTTTTGTTTGAATAAATTGATCCTATATTTGCTAATTTATAGCTCTCAGTAATTCAACTTTTTCTTTCCAGAGGAGTGAGGGTCTTATCTCCATCAGAACTGAGGCCATACACTTCAATGAGTGTAAGTGATTTACTTTGTCAAGATATTGAAGATTGGTATCTCAGTTTCTAAATGATGTCTCAAATTGTATCATGCATTTTGCTTTAATATATGTTTTGTCCAGATGAACAGGCTAGTATATTTCTCCATCCATTTGCTCATATTTGCCTCCCTTTCCCTCTTGAGCACTTACTGCCTTGAGCATCTAGCAGGTGGGGGATGGGGAGCACTTGCATACTCCACCAATTAAGAGAGCAGTCTAGTATTGCTCACAAGTAACACTAAACCATGTGAAGGGCATAAATAAATATATTCCTAGTAATGAGGCCTTGGAATCTCAACCCAGAAGGGCTACCATAATGCAACAGGTGGTACTTGATTGTTCTCTTACAATTGTTGCTTTGGATTACCCCTCTCCCAACGACCCACTACAAAACCCCAAAACAATCCTGAAGAACACCATAGAACCTGAATTTACTACTGTACAGTGCATGACATTTTCTGGGGGGAGCCCCGTCGGCTCCCCGGAGCTTTACCGGCTGATATGCTAATGTCAGACTTTGGTATCAGTCATGTGTATGGAGTTCTGTGGGCCTACCAGGGACCACGGCCAGAACCTGGCCCCCTCAAAGAGGCAAGGGGAGCAATGGCCTATAGAAACCCCCGAGTGGTTGGAAGCATTTTATGTCTGCCATCGACCGGGTCAAGCATCCAGAAAGGTAAGCATTCCAAAACAAACCCCTATTCTGGTGAAAATTGCTACCTAAAGCCAAACTAGTGGATAGAACTCTTCAACAGAAAACAAGGAAACAAGTACTGTATGACGTCATACGTCACCGCGCCGCTGTCTGCGCAGCTCCCCCCTCCCCGGGAGGGGGAAGGGGGAGCCCCAGACCTCCCACTCCGGCTATCCACCCATCAGTTCTTCGGCTGATGCTATAGGCAACGGTTATGTGCTCCGGCTCCAGTGGTTGTTTCAGCACTGTTCCTAGAGTGTGGTGTCTGTTTTCTAGGTGGTGCGTGAGCCGGGAGTGATTCTCCAGTACTCGGGCTGCATGCGCCTAGGGTTCCCTTCCCTAGGTGCCATGTAAGTACTGCCCTTGGGGCTTGGGGCCACCTTCCACAAGTTCCTTGGGTCCTGCCCCTGCTTGGCCGTTTACTGCTTGGTTTTCGGCCGCTCTTTGTGTGATCGGGTGTTCTGTCTCCCTTGTTCGCCTTAGAGTAAGGGGCAGTTTTTGCACTGGTGGGGCGCGGGGTACTGTGCAGCTTGTATTTACCAATCATTGCGGCCGGCTCTGTTCCGCTTGGGTACGCTGTCCTCTTGCGGGGTTTTCTTTTTCTTTTTATTTATCTACCTGGTGGGGGGGGGGTCTGCCTTCGTTCTTGCCCCTTGTGTCCCTTGTGTTCTGAGTATTTTCTGGTGGTACCCCCTGCTAGGTCCCCGTGAGTGTACACGTCCCGGGGGTTCAGCTCTTAGAAAGTTGTTTGGTAGCTTTGGGTGCCGGTTAGCAGTACCCTGCCTGGGATTACCTGAGCGCGAGTCCTCTTATAGTAAACGCTCGGGACCCTGGGAAACCCCTGGGGGCGGGCGGGTCCGATGGATGTGACCCCAGAGTCTTCCCCTCGCTTCCAGCGAGTTTGAGGGTTGCTCTCACCCTTTGTCTCTGGGTGACTCTCTGTTTTGCCTCCGTCTGCTGCCTGTGGGGTCGGTGACACCTTCGACCCGGAGTCCTGCGAGTTTGATTGCTCGTTGGGGCTCGGTTACCCAGTTGTGCTGACAAAGCGGGTGTGGGCAGCAGGGGCGTTGCACTTGAGCCTTGGTGGTGGCAACGTTCTCGTGGTTTCCTCCCCGGGAGCTCCGGGGCTGCCCCGTTGTAGTTCGTTTTGGGACTTGGTGTTGGTTGCTTCGGTTCCATCCACGCCCCCTTGTCTTTCCCCTGGATCACCCTTCCTGCCTGCATCCGGTTCCTTACCGTCTGTAGGTTCGGGGCGGGGTTTTTGATGGTGTTGAGACTCGGACAGTCTCGGGGAATTCCCCTTCCGGGGTAGTGACGGGGGCATTTGAGCCTGTTCCTCCAGCTGTGTTGTATGAGTCTGTCAGTGGGCTCCCTTCCTTAGTGTTTTCACGGCTGCCCCGGTTTTCTGGTACGGCCGGGGCTTTGGGGGAACGGCTCGGCCCCGGGGCCTGTCGTGTAGGTTCCCGGGGCTGGGGAGGGGCTGACTTGGGGGGCCTTGGCCCCGTTGGACCCCGTGGGTTTTTTTTTATCCCCCTCTAGGCGGGGCTTGTGGTTACGCGGAGTGGGGTCTTTCCTCCCCACTCGCCGTACGTGCTGTTGGGCGTCGGCCCCTCCCTGGGCTCGGTTCCTTGGCCTTTGAGTCGGTTGGTTCCGTCCTGTGGGTGGATGTTTCCTCCCACCCCTTTTTGGGACGGTGTTTTCGTCATGTTTCCCTGTTCGATGGGGTTCTGCGTGACTTCTGATCTCGGGTGCGCCTGCGCCTTCGTGTGCCTTCGGGACTAGTGTTGGCTTCTGTGTTCTCGAGGGTACGGGAAGTTTTTTCACTACTTCCCGCATTATTGAAACGTCTGTCGGCTCCTCGTCCTTGTCGCCCTGTTATGCTACTTGTCGCCCTGTTGGGCTACTTGTCGCCCTGTTTTGCTACCTGTCGCCCTGTTGGGCTACCTGTCGCCCTGTTGGGCTACCTGTCGCCCTGTTGGGCTGCCTGTCGCCCTGTTGGGCTGCCTGTCACCCTGTTGGGCTGCCTGTCGCCCTGTTGGGCTGCCTGTCGCCCTGTTGGGCTGCCTGTCGCCCTGTTGGGCTGCCTGTCGCCCTGTTGGGCTGCCTGTCGCCCGGTTGGGCTGCCTGTCGCCCGGTTGGGCTGCTTGTCGCCCGGTTGGGCTGCTTGTCGCCCGGTTGGGCTGCTTGTCGCCTGGTTAGGCTGCTTGTCGCCCGGTTGGGTTCCTTTTTGGGCTCTTTGCTTCTTTGGCCGGTTTTATTGTTCCTGCTTCCTCTTTTGGCTACTTTTCTCGTGCAGTAGTCCTGGCTGGCGCCTTCCCGCAGAGAGGGTGTGCGGTTCGGCCAGCGTGTTATGCGCATGCGCCGTGGAGTTTGTTTTGGTCTGAGCGGTGTTTCAGTGCTGGTGTTTTGCGCCCTTTTTGCTACAGTGCTTCGCCTCTCGTTCTTCTCCCTGGCTGCGGTATGTGCCCCTTCGCTCGGGGGGTGTCCTGGTTCCCAGTTGTGGGGGAAGACACCTCGGTTTTCCCTGTCATGGGTGTGGACCGCCTCCTTCGCCTCTCCCTGCTCTCCTGCGGGTCCGGCAGGGTCCGGCTTTGGCGTCTTCACCTGGCGGTGCTCCCAGGTTCTTCTGGGCACGGTTGAGTCGTCAAGTTCGTGCCACCGTTCGCCAGGTGAGTTTCTGTGGTCTGGCGTCTTTTGGCCGGGCGCTAGGTGCGGAGTTGTTGATATACCTGTCTTTATTTAGGTATATTTTTGTACGACTGAGACCGTTCGCACACCAGTGACTGTCCCTTTTTCAACCCTTCCTGTCCCCCTCATGTGCATGTCCAACCCATGCTGGAGTCATTCAGGGGACCCTCCTTTTTTAATGTTGTGAGGTGTGGGGGTTGTAGGGTTGGTTCTGTACTCACCTGGTAAGGCTTGCTGTGCTTGCAGGATTTGAGCTCTCGCTCTTGGGTCCCGCCTATCTAGTAGAACTTGCGGGATAGTACCAGTGGAGTGCAGTGGTGCTATTGGCACAATTGGGGAACACTGTATTACCATCAGAGGTCTGTGCTTGTTACACGACCTACTTGCGAGCATAAGCCTTCTTGCTGGTTTGTCCGTGGACTTCCAGGGCGCACTAACCTGTTTTCGTAGGGCAGTTCCGGCCCGTCCTGGTCGTGGGGGTATGTGGGCCGGTAGGCTGCTCCTAGCAGCTGCCTGGTGGGCCACCTTCTGGCCGGTCTAGCCTGGCCTTGGGCCGGGCTTGAGGTGTAACAGAGCTCCCAGTACCTCATCCAGCAGGTATCGAGCGGGGTTTCTCCGCCGTCGGTCGCCTGGTGCAGGTTTCTGGGCCTGCGGGGTTTTGTCGTGTCTCCGTTGGCCCTGTCTGGGGTCTGCTTGCTTCGTTCTCTGCCTTTGCAGAAGGGAGTTGCTATTTACATGTTGCATGTTGCAGTGCTGCCTGTTGCTGCTGCTGCACGTGGGCATTGGTACCGTGTTTCACGGTGGCGTGTCCTTGTTCCTGTGTCCGGTTGTGGAGTGGCACTTTGCTGCCGTTTTGTGCCTGGGGATTGCGTGGGGGATTTCTGTCCCTGCCTGATTGTCCACCCATGGGGGTTATCCTGGGGTTTTTGTGCTTCTGCTCTTTCTTCCTGCCTCCTCTGCAGCAGGGGTGTTCTGCGTGTGTTCTTAGGCGTTTGTCAGCCTGTGTCCTGTGATGTGCTTCTTTGTCTCAGTCTATTGCAGTTGTTCGTACCCCTTGGTTCGGGTACTGTTCTGGCGGCGACCCTTCCGCCTTCTTTGGTTTCCTAGCTTGCCCTGCCGGTTTTTTTTTTTTTGGGTCTTGCGATGTCTCGCATCGACCCGTCGTTTCTGAACTCCTGCCGGGCTTACATGCTTTGGGGAGTTTTTCTGTTCGGCAGACGTTCCATCTCCTTGTGCCGCCTGGGTTTCGGTGGTCGCGCCCGAGATCTTCCCGCGGCTCCACCTTTTTCCTGGGCTCGTAGGGGGCCTTGTCGGGGCTGCTTATGTTCTGCCTCGCGGTCTCGCCTCCGGTTGGTGGTCGGGTGGCTTCGTGGTAGGTGTCCCACCTGTGTGCTTCTCTTGGCGGCAGTATGGGGTATTTTGGCGGTCCTTCCTTTTCCTGTCCCTTCTTAGGTGGTTACTCTTGTTAGCTTGGTTTACTCTCGGCTAGGTTTTCTGGTGGGGGTTGGGGGCCGTCGTCTTGCCACATACTGTCGCCTCTTTTCGTGCAGCGCGGGCGGAGCCGCTTCAGCTTGCTTTCGGTCTTGGTGTTGCTTC